AATTCGAGCTGTAGGTTTTCATTCCGCCTGTGCTCTGCAGTAATGTGCCTTTTAATGCAAAATTGCAGTGCCCATTCACACATACTCAAACAGTCTGAGGGGTAATGTTTCCAGGCGGGTACTCTTCAATTGGCCATCTGGAGAGATGTCTCTCACCGCAGAGAGTGCATTGGCTCCACACTCGCTCATTAACTGAGAGAGAGAGAAAACAACCGATTGATTCGAAGCATACACATGCACGCACGCATTCCTCTGCACACACAAACAGCACGGACACACACTCTCCCCTTATCTACTCTCTTCTTTTTCCATCTGAGTGAACCCAGTACATTTGAGATCTCCAAGTGCCAACGCTGCACATTTGCTAACCCCAGGGCCTCGGAAAGAGAGAAAGAGAGAGAGGATTGAAAAAGAGAGAATTACCCAGTCAGACAGCCTGCAATACAAGAACAGCCTCTATAAGTATAGCCCCTCCATCCGTCTGACACACTGATTGAGTAACACTGAAGCTCAAACACTGACCACACACACTGAGAGAGAGGGAGATGTAAGAAAGAAAAGTAGATATATACTGAACAAAAATATAAACGCAACATGTAAAGTGTTGGTCCCATGTTTCATGAGCTGAAATAAAAGATCCCAGAAATGTTCCATATGCAAATGTTGTGCACATATTTGTTTACATCCCTGTTAGTGATCATTTCTCTTTTCCCAAGATAATCCATCTACCTGACAGGTGTGGAATATCAAGAAGCTGATTAAACAGCATGATCATTACACAGGTGCACCTTGTGCTGGGGCCACTCTAAAATGTGCAGTTTTGTCAAACAACATGCCACAGATTCCTCAAGTTTTGAGGGAGCGTGCAATTGGCATCCTGATAGCAGGAATGTCCACCAGAGCTGTTGCCAGATAATTTAATGTTCATTTCTCTACCATAAGCCACCTCCAACGTCATTTAGAGAATTTGGCAGTACGTCCAACCGGTCTCACAACCGCAGACCACGTGTAACCACGCCAGCCAGGACCTCCACATCCCGCTTCTTCACCTGCGGGATCACCTGAGACCAGCCACCCGGATATGTCTGTATTAAAGCCCTTTTGTGGGGAAAAACTCATTCTGATTGGCTGGGCCTGGCTCCCCAGTGGCTGCGCCTCTGCCCAGGCATGTGAAATCCATAGATTAGGGCCTAATGAATTTATTTAAATTGACTGATTTCCTTATATGAACTGTAACTCAGTAAAATCGTAGACATTCTGTTGGATGTTGTGTTTATATTTTTGTTCAGTATAATTTCCTGCAATTCTATGTATTTTTGCCATGGATAATGCTGTTGTTTTGCTCAAACCATAATAAAATGAATACTGCTAAATTAATTGCTTTTGGAATGTTCAATTCTCGCTGACTGTATAGCTTTTATTTTGGTGATTGTTAGTTCTCAAAGATTATATTATAAAAAAATATATAGGTCCATTATCTTTTTACATACTTTATATCTGGTTTTAGTCGTTTAAGTTTACACTATTTGGAATTAGGCGACCAGAAAAAAATACACTTAGGTGGTCCACCCTGTAATATTTTGCATTGTGGTGTATTGCAGTATTTCCCAACCCTGGTCCTCGAGTACCCCCAACAGTACACAGTTTTGTTGTAGCCCTTAACAAACACACCTCATTCAACTCATTGAGGGCTTGATGATTAGTTGACAAGTTGAATCAGGTGTGCTTGTTCTGGGTTACAATAAAACAGTCGTGCTGTTGGGGGTACTCAAGGACCAGGGTTGGGAAACACTGGTGCATTGTGTGACTGAGTTATGCTTTGTCGAGCCGCTATCCCCTGGTCCTCTCTCATAAATCCAGTGAATTACCGAGCATGGCCTCTCTCTCCTCCATTAACCCCCCTCCTCCTTCCCTTCCCTCTCTTCCTGAACGCGTGATCAATTAAAACCCTGGCGCGCGCTGCGTGTCAGCACTTTCTCTGCCCCTCTGTCATTTTTCTCTTATGTACACTACCATTCAAAAGTTTGGGGTCACTTAGAAATGTCCTTGTTTTCGAAAGAAAAGCAATTTTTTTGTCCATTAAAATAACATCAAATTGATCAGAAATACAGTGTAGACATTGTTGATGCTGTAAATGGCTATTGTAGCTGGAAAACGGCTGATTTTTCATGGAATATCTACATAGGCGTACAGAGGCTCATTATCAGCAACCATCAGTCCTGTGTTTCAATGGAACGTTGTGTTTGCTAATCCAGGTTTGTCATTTTAAAAGGCTATTTGATCATTAGAAAACCCTTTTGCAATTATGTTAGCACAGCTGAAAACTGTTGTGCTGATTAAAGAAGTAAAAAAACTGGCCTTCTTGAGACTAGTTGAGTATCTGGAGCATCAGCAATTGTGGGTTCAATTACAGGCTCAAAATGGCCAGAAACAAATAACTTTCTTCTGAAACTCGTCAGTCTATTCTTGTTCTGAGAAATGAAGGCTATCCCATTCGAGAAATTGCCAAGAAACTGAAGATCTCGTACAACGCGGTGTACTACTCCCTTCACAGAACAGTGCAAACTTGCTCTAACCAGAATAAAAAGAGGAGTGGGAGGCCCCGGTGCACAACTGAGCAAGAGGACAAATACATTAGAGTGTCTAGGTTTAGAAACAGACGCCTCATAGGTCCTCAACTGGCAGCTTCATTAAATAGTACCCGCAAAACACCAGTCTCAACGTCAACAGTGAAGAGGCGACTCCGGGATGCTGACCTTCTAGGCAGAGTTGCAAAGAAAAAGCCATATCTCAGACTGGCCAATAAAAAGAAAAGATTCAGATGGGCAAAAGAACACAGACACTGGACAGAGGAAGATTGGAAAAAAGTGTTATGGACAGACGAATCAAGGTTTGAGGTGTTCGGATCACAAAGAAGAACATTTGTGAGACGCAGACCAAATGAAAAGATGCTGGAGGAGTGCTTGATGCCATCTGTCAAACATGGTGGAGGCAATGTGATGGTCTGGGGGTGCTTTGGTGGTGGTAAAGTGGAAGATTTGTACAGGGTAAAAGGGATCTTGAAGCAGGAAGGCTATCACTCCATTTTGCAACACCATGCCATACCCTGTGGACGGCGCTTAATTGGAGCCAATTTCCTTCTACAACAGGACAATGACCCAAAGCACAGCTCCAAACTATGCAAGAACTATTTAGGGAAGAAGCAGTCAGCTGGTATTCTGTCTATAATGGAGTGGCCAGCACAGTCACCGGATCTCATCCCTATTGAGCTGTTGTGGGAGCAGCTTGACCGTATGGTACGTAAGAAGAAGTGCCCATCAAGCCAATCCAACTTGTGGGAGATGCTTCAGGAAGCATGGGGTGAAATCTCTTCAGATAACCTCAACAAATTGACAACTAGAATGCCAAAGGTCTGGAAGGCTGTAATTGCTGCAAATTGAGGATTCTTTGACGGACACAATTATTATTTCAATAAAAAATCATTATTTCTAACCCTAGACAATGAGAGAGAGAGTCTCTGTGGTCTTTTAAAATCAATTATCCATAAATTCTCAACCATATTGTAGAATATAAAAATGACAATAGTGTTATTCCAATCAAGTCATTTGTGTGTTCATCTTGAGGTTTGAGGCTCACTCTTTCCTTCACGTTCCTCACATACAGTATATTATAGGAAAAATCCACTCAAACTATATTTTGGTATTGTTTTCATGAGTCTGTTGACACAATGTTTTGCATGTCAGCAGTCAAGTTTTCAACATATTGGACTTTCAAGAAGCAAAGTGTCAGTTGCATCATCATGATGATGTGACTGTTTCTTGAAAATCATATATCTTGAAAACTTGACTGCTGACATGCAAAACATTTTGAGAATGTGTCAACAGTAGACTAATGAAAAAAAAAAAAAATCCTTTAAGCTTTCACTTTGGAGCCAATGAGATCAGCCTTCTCTATTAGGACCTGCCAAATTCTATTAGGTGACTGTTTGATGGGTCATTATTGGATCAACCCTCCACTGTAACACAATTACTGGCAATTACACTGATGATTACGCACTAATGCAGTTGCCCAATCACAAGCAGTGCTGCACTCTGAAGGAGATAATCTGGAGATTGGTAGACACTGGCAACCCACTGACAGACAGGGCCTGGGGAAGAAAATGGGACTTAATTTAGTGCTTCAACCGATCGAAAAATACCCGATGTTATTTAAGGCCTTTCAATTTGATGCCCATGAGACAGAATGAAAGATGAGATTATTTTCATTCCTCTCATCTGATGTGTTCTTCTGTTTATCTCAGAGATCTAAGTGTTCCCTTTAACACAGCCCAGTTCAGTTTGTTGGACCCGCCCTCCTTCGCTGTCATCAGAGAATACCTCTGTCTGTTCACACACACACTCATTCCTTGTTGTCTCTCCTTGTAAAAGTCAGTCTCTCCCCCTTCCTCCCAGTCCCCCGTTTCAGTAAATGATGCAGTCTTTCTTTGCCTTTTCTGGGACTTGAGGGTGAAGGGTTATCTTCTCTCTGCCGGTAAATCAGACAACCCTATCTATCTGTCTCTTCCTCTGTCTCTCTTTATCTCTCTCCCTCTGTAAGGACTGCAATCTTCTCAATCTCAGGTTGAATTATCCCATACTCCACTTTTCTTCTTGCCCTTCCTGCTCACCTTGACTTCTTATAGGTCTTTGAGAAAGCCTTATAGTTCAATATAATTTACTTCACCCTCTACAGTCCTTGAACCATGCCTTTTTGGATTCTTTTTTAAACTCATCCCTGTTCCATTTCATCAGAGGTCATTGATAGAGAGACTTCAATAGACCATCTTGAGATGTACTATAGGCATCTCCAAAGAACCCCCCTCATCTTGACAGGAGGGTCTGTTGTCCCTGACAATAGCCCTCTTGGACTGAGCCCCAAATAATTCCACATCCTGCTCTTTCTCTCCTACTTCTCTTCTCCCTCTTTCTCTCTCCTCCTCCTCTGCTCCGTCCTCTTCTTCCTCAGAAGAAGTCCTTGGAGGCGGCCTCCACAAAGTTGGGAGCGGACATGAGGATGGCGATGGTGCAGATGATGTTGAACACACTGAAGGCCACCAGGCAAAGCCGGTCGATGACTGCTGCCGCAAACTTCCACTGGTCAGCCACGCTCTCCGTCTCATCCTGCTCACGGAAGCGGTCTGCCATGTAACGCACTTCCTCCAGAATAGCCTGGAGCTGGGGGTCGCCTATACCCCCTGCCGAGTACTGTCCTCCGCCCCCCATTCCGAAGCCCCCGCCACTGGAAACGGTGCTAGGGCAGCCCACGGTGTCCGCATTGGGGGTGGGGGGTGGCGGAGGGCTGCAGAATGGAGGGGGCAGATTGGGAGGGGGGCTGCCTGCTACTCGAGGAGGCCCGGCCGAGATGCTGTAACTCTGGATGTGATCTGGGAGCAGTGGGGGTTCGTCCAGGTTCTGGAAGCCGATGTAGAGCAGGTTTCCATTGTTGTTGGCGCTGGACTGGGCGTGAAGGTGGGGGTGACCCGCGTGCAGGGGGCCAGCCTGGAGAGGGGCCAGGTTCTGGGGGTGGAGCGGGTGGAGTGTGGGGTCTGGAGGGTTAGGGATGCTACCACTTTGGGAGCTTGAGGAGCAGCGCCGTAGGTGGGGGGCACAGGGTGGTCGCTCTGGGTCATCACTCTCCCCTGGGCGCTTCATACGTAGGAACCATGCTACCCACTGCAGTAGGACCACATTAACCTGAAAGGAAGAGAAAGAGAGAAGTGAGAATCAATCAGAGAAGGATGTTATAATATATACTGAGTGTACAAAACATTAAGAACAGCTGCTCTTTCCATGACAGACTGACCAGGTAAAAGCTATGATCCCTTATTGATGTCACTTGTTAAATCCACTTCAATCAGTGTCGATGAAGGGGAGGAGACAGGTTAAAGAAGGATTTAAGCCTTGAGACAATTGAGAAATGTATTATGTATGTGTGCCATTCAGAGGGTGAATGGGCAAGACAAAAGATTTTAAGTGCCTTTGAACGGGGTATGGTAGTAGGTGCCAGGCGTACGGGTTTGTGGCAAGAACTGCAACGGTGCGTTTTTTCCTGCTCAAGGGGGGGGGGGGGGGGGGTTCAACTCAATATTAGGAAGGTGTTCTTAATGTTTTGTACACTCAGTGTAGATACATAGCAAGGGAGGTTAACACATCTAGTGAGGAATAGACCTACAGCTTAAAAGGGAAGTGCACTTGAAAATACACTAGGTGGAAAACCTTTCAGCTGGTAAAAGCTTGACACACAGTGGGTGGTGTGTGCGGATGCTGGTACATTCAACTTGACCTTTTGTATTCAACACGACTTTCATGAGCACAAGAATTAGAAAATTGCCGAAGGCAGGAAACCTTTTGGGGGATATAAAGCTTAATTTAAATTCTAACCACGGAATTAAAGTTAGACACAGGCATTTGTCTCCCCCTTAGGTATCTTTTATCCCTTTTATATATAGACAAAAACCATACCGTATTCTTTATACCGTCTTTTCTTTATATCTGAAAGGGGTAGGGGGTAAAAAACGCGGTACATTAAAATCCGCCAAGAGATAATTTCACTAGTAATTTCTCCTCACATGTAAATCATTTGAAGATGTTATCTTAAAAGATTCTGCCTACGGCTCTGTAAAAACCGAGCCATTCACCAAGTCCCGGCTTTGGGACGACGCTCACTTTGGTGAACCGATCACAAAACTTCAAAGTAATACTTTGACATGTATTCTCTCCATTCGCTTGCTCTTCATCACTTGATAATTTCACTCGTAATTTCTCCTCACATGTAAATCATTTGAAGATGTTTTCTAGCAAGCTATCAATGTGCATAATATCTAACAAGCGGAGAGAGGCTAGGAAAAAAAGAGGAAATGCCGATCTGCGTTCTGAATGAGTTACAGCAGATCATCTGCCCACTGCAAGTTTTGAGGACACAAACACAGACACACTCAAGTCCACTGCTTCTGGTCTGCGCTGCTACCTTGGTTTAACTATCTAAAGTTATCTACATTTTATTAATGATTAAATTGGCTACATTTATTTAAATTGACAATTCTGTGAACTGTCTTGTGCAAGTTTTAAATTGACACAGTACCTGTTAGCGAAGGTGTCAGAGATGACGTGCAGGAGCTTGCAGAGATCTGTAGTCTTGCATGATGTCTACAGTGCATTCGGAAAGTATTCAGACCCCTCGACTTTTTCCACATTTTGTTACGTTACAGCCTTATTCTAAAATGGATTAAATCGTTTTTTCCCCCTCATGAATCTACACACACAATAACCCATAATGACATGTCAAACGCACGTTTTTAGACATTTTAGCAAATGTATTAAACATTTAAATTAAATATCACATTTACATAAGTATTCAGACCCTTTACTCAGTACTTTGTTGAAGCACCTTTGGCAGCGATTACAGCCTCAAGTCTTCTTGGGTATGACGCTACAAGCTTGGCACACCTGTATTTCGGGAGTTTCTCCTATTCTTCTCTGCAGATCCTCTCATGCTCTGTCAGGTTGGATGGGGAGCGTCGCTGCACAGCTATTTTCAGGTCTCTCCAGGCTCTGTCGCAGCCGGCCGCGACCGGGAGACTCATGGGCGGCGCACAATTGGCCCAGCGTCGTCCAGGGTAGGGGAGGGAATGGCCGGCAGGGATGTAGCTCAGTTGATAGAGCATGGTGTTTGCAACGCCAGGGTTGTGGGTTCGTTTCCCAGGGGGGGGGGCAGTATAAAAAAAATATATATATATATATATGTATTCACTAACTGTAAGTCGCTCTGGATAAGAGCGTCTGCTAAATGACTAAAATGTATGTAAATGTAAATGTTCGATCAGGTTCAAGTCTGGGCTCTGGCTGGGCCACTCAAGGACATTCAGAGACATGTCCCGAAGCCACTCCTGCATTGTCTTGGCTGTGTGCTTAGGGTTGTTGTCCTATTGGAAGGTGAACCATCGCCCCAGTCTGAGGTTCTGAGCGCTCTGGAGCAGGTTTTCATCAAGGATCTCTCTGTACTTTGCTACGTTCATCTTTCCCTCGATCCTGACTAGTCTCTCAGTCCCTGCCGCTGAAAAACATCCCCACAGCATGATGCTGCCACCACCATGCTTCATCGTAGGGATGGTGCCAGGTTTCCTCCAGACATGAAGATTGTCATTCAGGCAAAATAGTTAAATTTTTGTTTCATCAGACCAGAGAATCTTGTTTCTCATGTTCTGAGAGTGCTGTTTTCACTTTGTCATTGTGGGGTATTGATGAGGAAACATTTTTATTTTAATCAATTTTAGAATAAGGCTGTAACGTAACAAAATGTGGAAGAAGTCAAGGGGTCTGAATATTTCCGAATGCACTGTACTGAATGCTAAATAGCATTTTCGAATTTGAGAGTAAATAGAGCAGAATATATTGATAAAAGTCAACTTGTCCGAGAGAGACTTACATGATTATCAAAACGTCACGCCAGGGTAAGCCTACATGAAACACAGCCCTTAATTTAAGTGTTTCTAAAATTCCCTATTGGAAAAATGAATGGTGGAAAAACGATTGGAACTATTTCGCAGTTTGACCATTAGGCTTTATGGGTATTGTGACACCTCCATCGTGGGGCGCTATAGTGTCTGTTGTTGTTGTGTGCAATTATGAACGTTGCCAGTTCGATGCCCTTCTCTGAACCCCAATCATTTACATTGCTAATTGGCCAGCTGACTACCCAAAGTGGGCCATTTATCAGTGGGAAGACCTTGCAGATTGCACCAATCTATAAAGCATCTGCAACCCATCCACTCTCCTTCACCAAAACCCATTCTCTGAGTTGATGATATCAATTAATCTGTAAATGCCATACCGCCAAACAGGGGAAGCTGAGAAATGCATTTGGAAAAGCTTCAAGGTATTGCACAAGGTGAGAGACTAGGGTAAGGCTAGAAACTGAGTAAGTCAAACACAAGCCTACAGACCCAATGTATTGTTGGGTCCAACAGAAAGGTATGGTACAGTTGATGCGAACTTGGACAGACTGTGAAGGAGTGAGGAGATATAGTGATTGTTAGTATAAGCGGTTTAGAAGGACAAATACAGAGGGATGTGAGAGATTGGAGGATGAAAAGATGGAGAAAATTCTAGAAAGAGACGTTGAAACAATAACCTAGGACAGTTGAAGTGAAGGGCAGATAAAGAGGGTAGCAATTAAGGTATCAAAGGTAGCGTGGCAACAAGTATTGCATGAGTCATTTTTGAATTGCAGTGGCATTTGCGTCTCTCGCCTTTGGAACCATAAAAAAAACACTTTAAAATGACAAATAGTTACACATCATACAGTGAGGGAAAAAAGTATTTGATCCCCTGCTGATTTTGTACGTTTGCCCACTGACAAAGAAATGATCAGTCTATAATTTTAATGGTAGGTTGATTTGAACAGTGAGAGACAGAATAACAACAACAAAATCCAGAAAAACGCATGTCAGAAATGTTATAAATTGATTTGCATTTTAATGAGGGAAATAAGTATTCAAAATTAGTATTCAAAATGTTGAACTAAAATGATTAATCATATCACTTTGGTCAATACTTTTTTAAGGGTTAATGACCTTAGATTTGAGCATCTGTGGCCTCCATTTAAGAAAATCTTAAATTACCTCAAATTTGTCATTGGTGTTACGTCATTGTTGTTACTACTCCTACTGGTGGTAAAATGTTATCATAGTAGTACAAATTATTTAAAGTCATTAAGCTACCATATTAGTTGATTTACAATGGGAAGATGTACCCAAATACATTTGAAATAAAATACAAAATCTAGAAATATTATTCCAAAATGCCAAGTGTTTTGCCAGTTGCAGCAAAGAGGAAATGGCTATACCAAAGGAGGGTGGCAAACCAAGAGGGTTGGCTTGTTAGCATTAGCCATAACGGGAAAAACTGTTGCATTGTGATATACCAGGAGACCAGCCACGGAGGGGTTGGTGGGTGAGCGCATAGAGCTGTTTTTCTATGGGAAATGTTAATAGTTAGTAATGACTGGTGGTAGACTAGCGGTTAATAGCGTTGAGCCAGTAACCGAAAGGTCTCTGGTTCGAATCCCCGAGCCGACTAGGTAAAGAAATATGTCTGTGCCCGTGAGCAAGGCACTTAACCCTAATTGCTCCTGTAAGTTGTTCTGGATAAGAGCGTCTGCTAAAATGTCAAATGTAACTGTCTAGCTGGAGTGGACAGTATGAGCTCTGGCCTTACCCATTTGGGCATCTGTCCTCCGTTTGGGTCGTGGTGATGATACTGCAGCACCACTGTTGTAGCTATGACTGACATCCCAACAATGATCATAGTACTGGCAAAGTACTGTCCTGAAAGGTCGGCAAAAAAGCAGGAAAGAGAGAAAACAATTAGAGTAGAGAGAGGAAGCCATTTGTAATAACAATAATGCTTGCTGATCATGACTTGGCATTTTTCTTGGGCTTTAGTGGACTGGATTTGTGTTTTAGTAGCCATCTGTCTAGCTGCAGGGAGCTCACCGTACATAATTTCCAGCAGCGAATCTCTACGATTTATTTAGCCAATTACATTTAAGGACAACCAGATGGTTAGATCACCAGGGCCTGACCAACATTTGAGGCAATTATTTCAAGCACACACAAGCGCATACACACATTCTACACTCTAACACACACATAAGAACACACACACACCTATCAGAGGGATGGAGTCTGAAGTGGCTGGCATGATCTCTGCCACCAGCAACATGAAGACAGTGAGCGAGAGCAGCACAGTGATACCTGAAAAGAGAGAGGAAGATATTGAAAATGTATAAAACAGTGAGTGGATGCTGAGCACGATCTCCATTCTAACTGACTAGGCACTTGGGTTTTGAAATGTGTGTGTTACTCAGTACAACTAAATTTATAACACACACAACTCCCCACACTTATCACACATTTATTAACATCAGTGCCTCAGTTTTGATCCCGGACAAGCCTACAGAAATCCACATTTGTAAAGATAAACTTTCTTATAGGCATCTCGTTTGGCAAATACTTTATGGTCTTTACCAGTCAAGCCAACGGTTATTGATTTCAATTGAATATGATTCGATTTGGTTCGATCTGATGCAAATTGCAAAGTGTGGCAGCGTAATGTACCCAAAGTGAAATTACTTTTGTACATTCCTCTTCTTCAATTGCCCTTAGTAGAGCATTACTTCATTACTTCTAACCCACCCTATATTAGCAATTCATCTACCCCGGCTGTCTCTGCCCCCCCGACCCCCTCCCATCTCCATCTTCATTCATCAGATCTAATCTTCATCTCCTCCCATTACTTCTGTCACACTTTTTTTTTTTTTACCCAAGTGCTTTCTTGGCATAACTGGTACTGTCCAGAAGCAAGCCGATAAACCAAACATCTGTCAAGTGAGTCAGCCCTGTTCGCTCAATAGATAAAACAAATGTTCCTTCAAGGGTCATGAGGAAATTTGAAATTCACTTTTAAGAATGTCACAGTAAGAAATGGACAGTGGCGTTCATTTAAGCCATATGCTCATCTTGGCTAACCTGGTTGATACCAAACTCCAAGTCCTCCTTACTTAATTGTCTGGGGAGGCTCCTTTGATGTTGTCGGCACAATTAATGCATTTCAAATGGCACCCTGTTCCCCATATAGTGCACTACTTTTGACCAGAGCCCTGTGAGCCCTGGTCAAAAGTAGTACACTATAAAGGGAATAAGGTGCCATTTGGGACGCAGATAGTGCCTCTAATGAAGGTTGCTGTGCTTTTACACTGGTTGGTTCCCCTCTACGTCTCTCTCGCTGAAACACCCCACACACAAATAGGCCGCGAGCGCTGCCCCCTTGCTTTACAACTGTTTGTTTTCAAATCCAAACAGCAAGAGTTTTCAACGCCCCTCTGGTAATTTTTTGGGGTGATAACCAATCAGTGCCAAGGCACAAAACTGGGCGCATTTCTACCCTTAACATGAGACTCGATGAGAGTATATAAAAAACAGCCTCTCCACACTACGATGGGTATTGGGTACATAGCTTTTGTTGTACAACATAACCTGGTATCAGCCAGGCTGTATCTTGGCACTTAATTCCTTAAAACCTGTTCATCAAGCATGGTGTCAAGCTGAATTCATGGAAGGCTGTGTGTAAGCTCTCTCCCTAATCAATTCCTGGGCTTAATTACATCAATAGGTTAATTGGCTGTGGTGTGTGTAATACAATGCAGTGTAATGCATCCTCAAATTAGGTTAAAATGTTTTACATCCCCAAATTTCTTCTAGGTCTTCTTTGTTTTCCACCACTTTTTAGTTTTTCTAGAATCAATCTACTCTCCATCCCCTGTCATCTTTTCTTCCCTGTCACCATTATTCCCCTCCCATCCTCTTCTTATTCCTCCCTATACTCTCCTATGCCTTTCCACTTCTCCTCCTCTCCATGCTACTGTCCTCCATCCTCTCATCCTCTCCTCTCTAGGTTCCTTCTAGAAAAAGAAGGTTATTCTATTCTATCACTCTTGGATCATGTTCTCTCCTCTCTGCTCACCCAGAGAGATCTTCTCTCCAGAGTCGGCAGGCAGTAAGAAGATAAGCAGGGTCATGGAGGACAGCAGCACACAGGGGATGAGCAAGTTTAGAGCGTAGTAGAGAGTACGCCGGCGGATGGTCACAACGAACGTCACATCAGGGTAGGGCTCCTTACAGCAGTCATAGAACACCTCGCTACGAGTGCCTGGCACTCCTTGAGAGAGTGAGTGAGAGAGAAAAACAAAAGGAGAGAAGAAAGAGGAAGGAATTTTTATAAAAGTTTTAGTTGAGTTGACAAGGTAGTTGAGCAATTGATAACAGAAATGTAGGAGTGTGATTCCAACCCCACTCACCCACTAGGTCCCACTCCCCGTTGGACATGTACCCGGATATGTCGGCATCATTCATTTGTAGGTCCATCAGCCAGCCATCGTACGTCCATGAGCCAAACTTCATCTCACACTTTTGGATGTCGAAGGGGAACCAACGTACGTCCACGTTACATGTGCTCATGAAAATCCCTGACATACAGGGAAAGAGATTGATAAAAAGGGAGGCAAAGAGTGAAGTACAAGAGATATAGACACCCACCTGTGCACGGGGGGGATTTGAAGAGAGAATGAGACACATTTGACTTGTTGTCCACATACACACTCTAAGAAAATATGTACTTTGCACATACAGTGCATTCGGAAAGTATTCAGACCCCTTCACTTTTTCCACATTTTGTTACGTTACAGCCCTTTTCTGTAATTGATCAAATATTTGTTTTTTTCTCATCAATCTACACACAACACCCCATAATGACAAAGCGAAAACAGGTTTTTAGAAATTTTAGCTAGTTTATTAAAAGTAAAAAACAAATACCTTATTTACATAAGAATTCAGACCCTTTGCTATGAGACTCGAAATTTAGCTCAGGTTAATCCTGTTTCCATTGATCATCCTTGAGATGTTTCTACAACTTGTTTGGAGTCCACCTGTAGTAATTTCAATTGATTGGATATGATTTGGAAAGGCACACACCTGTCTATATAAAGTCCCACGGTTGACAGTGCAGTGTCGAGGCACAGATCTGGGGAAGGGTACGAAAAAATTTCTGCAGCATTGAAGGTCCCCAAGAACACAGTGGCCTCCATCAGGGAGGTGACCAAGAACCCAATGGTCACTCTGATAGAGCTCCAGAGTTCCTCTGTGGAGATGGGAGAACCTTCCAGAAGGACAACCATCTCTGCAGCACTCCACCAATCAGGCCTTTATGGTAGAGTGGCCAGACGGAATCCACTCCTCGGTAAAAAGGCACATGATAGCCCGCTTGGAGTTTGCCAAAAGGCACCTAAAGGACTCTCAAACCATGAGAAACAAGATTTTGGCCTGAATGCCATGTCTGGAAGAAAACTGGCACCATCCCTACGGTGAAGCATGGTGGTGGCAGCATCATGCTTTGGGGATGTTTTTCAGCGGCAGGGACTGGGAGACTAGTCAGGATCGAGGGAAAGATGAACGTAGCAAAGTACAGAGAGATCCTTGATGAAAACCTGCTCCAGAGCACTCAGGACCTCAGACTGGGGTGAAGGTTCACCTTCCAACAGGACAACGACCCTAAGCACACAGCCAAGACAAGTCTCTGAATGTCCTTGAGTGACCCAGCCAGAGCCCGGACTTGAACCCGATCGAAAATCTCTGGCGAGAACTGAAAATAGCTGTGCAGCAACGCTCCCCATCCAATCTGAAAGAGCTTGAGAGGATCTGCATAGAAGAACGGGAGAAACTCGAGACTGTAATCGCTGCCAAAGGTGCTTCAACAAAGTACTGAGTAAAGGGTCTGAATACTTATATAAATGTGATATTTCCGTTTTTTATTTTTAATAAATTTGCAAACATTTCTAAAAACCTGTTTTTGCTTTGTCATTATGGAGTATTGTGTCTAGATTGAGGGGGGGAAAAACAATTTTAATATATTTTAGAATAAGGCAGTAACGTAACAAAATGTGGAAAAAGTCAAGGGGTCTGAATACTTTCCGAATGCACTGTATCTTCTTGTTCTGGCACCTATCTTTAAGCACTCTGGAGGAGGGGTCAGTACACAGAAAAACAGTTCAAGAGTGAATGGCTACATCTCAATTATCTGTCCTTCCTTCCAAAGTGTGCACTTGTTCACTTCACTGATTTGAAAGGAAATGACTGGTGTAAATTCCTTATTTTCTGTCCGCTGCCTCCACCAATCCAATACTTTAAGATTTGTGTGAAGTAGTGAGGAGGAGAATCTCAATTGCACACTCCTCGGGTCCTCTCTCCTCTCCGCCTTCTCAAAACCCATTGGAGGAGAAGGTCAGATGGGAGGGACCTCTGGCTTTCTCATCCAGTGGGTTTTGAAAAGGAGGTGAGGAGAGAGGACGCGAGGAGTATGCAATTGAGATTCTCCCAATGAGTACACTTCAGGAGAAAGGAGATATAGTGCCATATAGAGAGTGACATTGATCTCTACTCTGCAGACAACTGATCAACCTTTTCATTATACAGAAACACACAGACACAGAGATGACACACAAAGTACTACATTATTAGTGCACACAGGGGGAAACACACACACACACACACACACACACACACAGAGATGACACACAAAGTACTACACGACTTATGCACACAGAGATCGCTGGCAAACTTAAGCAAAGCAATTACTGAAATGAACAAATTAACCCTATTGAGTTTTCCAGTAGAGCACACAACCAAAATGCCATAGTAGTCTTCCAAACAGCACTAAAAAACATTAATTATGAGTCAGAAGACATGCAAATGAGGCCTTAAAAAAACAAAAGGGCTGAAAAGCAATTTGAATGGATTAGCTGATTTTCCACTATGCAACCAGAAGTTAACGATCAAACCAATACTAAATTAAATCCAGTATTGATTATAAAACTTAGTCATCACATAAACATAAAATGTCTAATGCAAGATTTAAAATGGAGTTTCATTCTATCGTTTTTTGGGGAATCACACATAATGGCATCTCCAGAGTAGAGATCAGTGTCACTCTATATGGCACTGTCTGGGTGCGTCCCAATATATCCCCTTTCTCCTGAAATGTACAGTACTCATTGGGAGAATCTCAATTGCATACTTTGCTTGGTATGGCAACTGTTCAGCATCCGACCGCATCACCACTTGGTACGGCAACTGCTCAGCATCCAACCGCAAGGCGCTACAGAGGGTAGTGCGTACAGCCCAGTACATCACTGGGGCCAAGCTTCCTGCCATCCAGGACCTCTATACCAGGCGGTGTCAGAGGAAGGCTAAAGAAATGGTCAAAGACTCCAGCCACCCAAGTCATAGACTGTTCTCTCTGCTACCGTACGGAAAGCTGTACCGGAGCACCAAGTCTAGGTCCAAAAGGCCCCTAATAGCTTCTAGCCTCAAGCCATAAGACATCTAAACAGTAAATCAATTGGCTACCCGGACTATTTACATTGACCCCCTTTTTATGCTGTTGCTACTCTCTGTTTATTATCTATGCATATTCACTTTACCCCTACCTACATGTACATAATACCTCAACTACCTCAACTAACCTGTACCCCCGCACATTGATTCGATCTGGTACCCCCTGTATATAGCTTTGTTATTTATTGTGTTATTTTTTTAGCAAATATTTTTTACTTTCAAATAAACTGCATTGTTGGTTAAGGGCTTGTAAGTAAGCATTTCACGGTAAGGTCTACACTTGTTGTATTCGGCGCATGTGACAAATACAATTTGATTTGATTTATAGTCTCCCGCTGAGCCGGAAAGGCATGTGGTCATGAAATTGTAAACAATGAACAGTCCAAAATACAACTTACAACTCTCAAACTCATGCAATTTCCTTACAACTGCACCTCTTTGCTCTGCGGCAAGGGCTTTGTAGTAACTCATTATTTTCTCTAGCTACATTTACCTCCATTTGCAATTCACTGCTCTCCTGCAGCTCTGTAACAGATCCTCTAAGCCAGGGTTCTTCAATTCCGGTCCTGGAGGGCCGAAACACTTCTGTTTTTTATTTCTACCTGGTAGTTAATTGCACTCACCTGGTGTCCCAGGTCTGAATTAGCCCCTGATTAGAAGGAGAGGATGAAAAACAGAGGTGTTTCGGCCCTCCAGGACCGGAATTGAAGAACCCTGCTCTAAGCTAACAATTAGGTTACTCTAAAAGCTGATCCGACAAGCAACATTCCTTGACACAAAATGCCCTCAAACTGCAACTTATCTCAAGATTCTTTACTTCTAAAAATATATCTTAAAACTCTGGAGAATCCCTTGAAAAACAACCTCTGCACAGGAAACAAGATGGATCACTCCAGCCTTCAAAAACCTATTTCCTTCCTTTCCCTTAGTGTTTGTCCCAAACGGCACCCTATTTCCTATATAGTGCACTTTTGGGCTCTGGTCAAAAGTAGTGCACTATGTAGGGCAGGGGTAGCCAACCCTGTTCCTGGAGTACTGCAGGATTTTGTTCCAACTAGGCACCACACCTGACCAAATGAGCTAATTGATCAGTTCAATGGTTGCCTAAATTCAACACACCTGGTCTTCCCAATCGGTTAAATCCAAAACATGAAGTGCCTGCAGGACCAGGGTTGCCTACCCCTGATGTAAGATATAGGGTGCCATTTGGGACACCATCCTAGACACCATCCCACCAAAACACCATGCATCACATCTGAGCTATAAAAACTATTCCCAAACATTACCAACCACCCACACCTATTTCTTCCCTTTTCCTTTAAACACCATCCCACCAAAACACAATGTGTCACATCTGAGCTATACAGTGAGGGAAAAAAGTATTTGATCCCCTGCTGATTTTGTACGTTTGCCCACTGACAAAGAAATGATCAGTCTATAATTTTAATGGTAGGTTTATTTGAACAGTGAGAGACAGAATAACAACAACAAAATCCAGAAAAACGCATGTTATAAATTGATTTGCATTTTAATGAGGGAAATAAGTATTTGACCCCTCTGCAAAACATGACTTAGTACTTGGTGGCAAAACCCTTGTTGGCAATCACAGAGGTCAGACGTTTCTTGTAGTTGGCCACCAGGTTTGCACATATCTCAGGAGGGATTTTGTCCCACTCCTCTTTGCAGATCTTCTCCAAGTCATTAAGGTTTCGAGCCTGACGTTTGGCAACTCGAACCTACAGCTCCCTCCACAGATTTTCTATGGGATTAAGGTCTGGAGACTGGCTAGGCCACTCCAGGACCTTAATGTGCTTCTTCTTGAGCCACTCCTTTGTTGCCTTGGCCGTGTGTTTTGGGTCATTTTCATGCTGGAATACCCATCCACGAGGGAAGAAGGTTCTCACCCAAGATTTGACGGTACATGGCCCCATCCATCGTCCCTTTGATGCGGTGAAGTTGTCCTGTCCCCTTAGCAGAAAAACACCCCCAAAGCATAATGTTTCCACCTCCATGTTTGACGGTGGGGATGGTGTTCTTGGGGTCATAGGCAGCATTCCTCCTCCTCCAAACACGGCGAGTTGAGTTGATGCCAAAGTGCTCCATTTTGGTCTCATCTGACCACCACTTTCACCCAGTTCTCCTCTGAATCATTCAGATGTTCATTAGCAAACTTCAGACGGGCATGTATATGTGCTTTCTTGAGCAGGGGGACCTTGCGGGCGCTGCAGGATTTCAGTCCTTCACGGCATAGTGTGTTACCAATTGTTTTCTTGGTGACTATGGTCCCAGCTGCCTTGAGATCATTGACAAGATCCTCCCGTGTAGTTCTGGGCTGATTCCTCACCGTTCTCATGATCATTGCAACTCCACGAGGTGAGATCTTGCATGGAGCCCCAGGTCGAGGGAGATTGACAGTTATTTTGTGTTTCTTCCATTTGCGAATAATCGTACCAACTGTTGTCACCTTCTCACCAAGCTGCTTGGCGATGGTCTTGTAGCCCATTCCAGCCTTGTGAAAGTCTACAATATTGTCCCTGACATCCTTGGAGAGCTCTTTGGTCTTGGCCATGGTGGAGAGTTTGGAATCTGATTGATTGATTGCTTCTGCGGACAGGTGTCTTTTATACAGGTAACAAGCTGAGAGTAGGAGCATTAAGAGTGTGCTCCTAATCTCAGCTCGTTTCCTGTATAAAAGACACCTGGGAGCCAGAAATCTTTCTGATTGAGAGGGGATCAAATACTTATTTCCCTCATTAAAATGCAAATCAATTTATAACATTTTTGACATGCGTCTTTCTGGATTTTTTTGTTGTTATTCTGTCTCTCACTGTTCAAATAAACCTACCATTAAAATTATAGACTGATAATTTCTTTGTCAGTGGGCAAACGTACAACATCAGCAGGGGATCAAATACTTTTTTCCCTCACTGTGTGTATATATATATATATATATATATATATATATATATATATATATATATACAGAGTGAGAAAGAGAAAGGGACTCACCTGGAGGGAGATACTCTGCAAAGCCACTGGAGTTGACCAGCACATTGGTCTTGAAGGCAGAGTCAAAGTCATCGTCTGCACTGAGAAAGGAGAAAGGAAAGGGTGGATCGAACTCTGGACAGTAGTGTTTTAAAAGCAGAAAAGACATGCATGTAAATGTGAGGCATGACAACGTGATATGACTATAGGTGTTTTACCTGTTATAGAGGAGGATGTCTGGCGTCCACACCTGGTCAGTTGTGAACCGAAGGTTTTTCACTCCAGGGTATTTAGACTGGTTCCACTGAAGATAATGATCAAACCAGCTCTGGAAGACAGACTCAAACTGGATATATTGGACAAGGCAATTGAATTCAACGTGAACTGAATATACACTGAGTGTACAAAACATTAAGGACACCTTCCTAATATTGAGTTGCACCCCCCCACTTTTTCCCTCAGAACAACCTAAATTCATCAGGGCATGGACTCTACAAGGGCACCTACTACCATACCCCATTCAAAGGTACTTAAATATTTTGTCTTGCTCATTCACCCTCTGAATGGCACACATACACAATCCATTTCTCAATTGTCTCAAGGCTTAAAAATCCATCTTTAGCCTGTCTCCTCCCCTTTATCTACGCTGATTGAAGTGGGTTTAACAAGTGACATCAATAAGGGATCATAGCTTTCACCTGGATTCATGTGGTCAGTCTGTCATGGGAAGAGCAAGTGTCCTTAATGTTTTGTACACTCAGTGTATAACTGAGAAGGTCCCCTGAGAGCGATACAATACATTCACTCTCACTTCGACAGCTGTATACTCTTACTTGAAGCTGTGCTGTGCTTACCATCCGAAGCCAGATGTTAGTGGTGAGGACCTGATTCTTCTCATCCTGTAAGATGTGAATCTTTTTAAGTAAATTCTTATTCTGACGACCTACTGTATATTGAGAGACCTGACTCAAAATAGTTGTTTTTTTTAGGTGCAGTGGAATATTTACTTTTACAGATCAGGCAGGCGGCACAGGTATAGACGAAGGCACCAACAGATAGGTAGGCAAACAGATAAAATAACGTAAATGGAATCTGAACATTGAACCCTACCACATCCATGATCTGCATCAGACTGATAGTGAAGAAGACGGTGAGGGAGTGTGAATCGTTGCCCACCGGCCTCTCCATACGATTGTAGTCCTTCAATAGGTTCTTCAACAGGGTCCTCTGGTGAGGGCCCTGCACCGACACTGAGAGAAGAACGGAGGAGAGGGAGATGGAAGAAAAGGAGAGCAGGAGATTTCAGAAGAGAGGCGATAGAAACATTAGGTATCAAAAAAACATTTTAAAGTTTGAATGGCATTTCTAGCTTAGCGACCAGAATTTTTCCCATTCAAGTCAATGGCTCCTAAAATGCATTTAAATGTATGCAAATATGGTTGTAGTGTGAAAAGTCTCATTAGTATCAACGTTTTTTTTCAAGCAACAGTACCAGGACCAGTCTGCATGCTATAAAGTTGTTTTGGTGTTGGTAGCTTTAACGGTTCAGGAGCAGTGGTGTATCCAAATACTTCCTATTCAAGCCTATGGAGCTTTTATGCATATTTGAAACAGTTATTGTTCAAAAAGTGTAAATTGTATCAAAAGCTGTTGACAAGCACACCATTCCAGACTGGTCAGCAAATTTTTAAAGTTTAAACAATGTTTCTAGCTTAAACGGTTTAAGACTAGTTACGGTCCAAACTTCTCCCATGTTAACCTATGGCCATTGAAATGCATTGGAATTTATGCAAATGTTGTTGTAGTGTGAAAAGTATCAGTAGTATCAACAAGTTTCTTTCAAGCACAGTCAGCTTGCACGTTTTAAAGTTGTTTTGGTGTTGGTAGCTTTTATGAGAGCGGAAGGAGAATAATAATAAGTATGAATAGTTTCTAAAGTTGTGCTTTGTTTTCAGCAAGAACACCTAATTAATGAATAATCAAGCAGTTTTGTAAGTGTAAAATCCCTGAAGCACTACAAATTTAAACAAGAATGCAGTGTGAATCATTAAATAAGGCATGGTAAGGATTTGTTTCAAGAAAGTGTTGTGACTCATTTAGAAATGTAGAATTTTACTGACAATTATATCTTGGATGTGTTTCTATTTTGTTACTCAAATTAGGAGGACGAGCTGAAAGTAATGGCGGGAATGGAATTAATGGAATGGTATCAAACACATCAAGCATGGTTTCCATCAGGTTGATACCATTCCATTTACTCCATTCCAGCCATTATTATGAATCGTCCTCCCCTCAGCAGCCTCCTGTGCTTTCAACTACTGTAGGACCACCATCTTGCACTGCCTTAGAACTTTCGTAATGATACATTACTGTTGTGCATGCTTCTAACTAAAGTCTGTGGGTTTTTAATATTTTTGATGTCGACTTAGCATCTTTTGTCAGCTTCTAGCTATTGTGTATGGTTTTGGCAGCTGTATTTGCTTTTAGCTTTTAACCTCATAGGCCCATAACTGTAGCTGTTATGTTGCCCGATATGTGTTTAACTGTTGTGTGTCATTTGGTGTACAAACAGACGTTAAGAGCGCTTTCAGTGGTCTGTGTACTTCTAGCTGTTGCTGTTATCCTTTACCACTGTGTGTCAATAGCCCAAGGAGAATCAGGTTTCACTGGGAAATTAACAAGAATCTCTACAAAAGGTTACGGTCTGGAAATTATTCACGATTTTGCATTGAGAGGAAAGTTCACTATCTCTTTACCTAGTCCCATGGCAAGCAGCCTCTGATATACTGTAGTAATACCTTTCCTTTCCCTTAGCAACATATCTCTTCTGCTGCTTACAGCGTATCTACTCTCTCTGCTACAGAAACATGTCCATAACAGCATAACAAGGAAGCAAGATCGAACCAGATCTATAATGGTGTTCAATTGAAATGACACCATTCAATTGATGTGAACACCATTAACAATTGTCTGTTCCCTGCTGGTTCAATCCCATAGATACTGCACTCTCTGTCCACAGAGATTTTGAGGAAATAGAGGGTTATGATTGCAGCATAAAATTCTTCCCTTGTAAAGCATTTATCCCCATCTCTCTCAATTTATAAACTGACTCTCTTTCTTTTTATGTCGTTCCCCACAATAGACAACATGTATTTTACATTGAGCACCACATCACATCAGGCTCTGATTAACAGATGTAGACTACTGTATTAACTATGCACACAGGTAGGCATGTACAAACAGACAAACATAAAACAAGAGCACAAACACTGAGAGAACGCAAAAATACACATACACATGCACTTCTCATTCATCCTCTACTCTTTTCCAGTGATCTTTTCCTAGTCTTTCCATCTGGCTTTGTAACTCTAATCTTTCAATGTAGTCAGAGAGAGTAAATAGAGAGGCAGACCTACCCTGGACCAAAGCAGAGAATCCACAGAGAACCAGAACCACAAAGCACCACATTTCTAATGGATAGGGATCAGAGAAGAGTGCAGCTGAGATGGGGATAAGAGGAGAAGAGGCACAGACAGGAAGATTGGATTCAGAGGCTGGAATTTCCCTGATTCGCATCCACAGAGTATCAGAAGAAATGAAGAAGTGAATCAGAGAGAGAAGGACAGAGAGATGGGTGGCAGGCAGTGAGGTACGGAGCCTAAGTTGGTACACGCCGTCGGGAAAAATGCAGTGAATGAGTGGAGGAAAAAAACAACTGATTCTAGACAAGCCAGCCGCCCCCCCCCTTTTCTCTGTTGCTCTCTCTCTCCTTATCCCCCCTCCCTTACCGTGTCCCTCTGCTTCCCTGGGAGGTGGAGTCTAGAAGGAAAGCGTGAGAGGAAATAAGGGATGTGGAAGAGGGAAAAAAGAGAGGAAGGGGGAGCCTATATCTGCCTCAACTGACCTTTTTGAGAAAAATAGTCCCACCTGATTGATTTGTGTCAACATCTTCATTGACAATATTACAGAATATTTGTATCTATTCCATTAATTTCGTGTGTGTACCAATATGCCTCTTGGGTCCAATCTCCAGATTTGTCTGTGCTGCAGTGTGATATACACAGTCTGCTGGAGCAGAGAGCTGATGGAGAGGAGAACTAGTCTGTGTGTGAGTGAGCGAGGTGATAGATAGGTGAGTGATTTGGCTGGGTTGTGTGTGGTGTGGTGGGGAAGTAGCTCCGTCAATGAGGGGGGAGTTGAATCAGCAGGAGGGATGGATTTGTCTAATTGAGAAAGTGCTGGGCTCTGCATGGGGGCCCAGGAATGTGCATAGTTAGACTCCACTCATCATTCGTCCTCATGAAGTGCTGATGCAGGGAAGAGGAGAGAAACAGAGAGAGAAAGAAAGAGGGAGAAAGGGACGGACTGTATAATAGAATACCCTATTACTTCTGCTGCCCTTCGCTATCCACGGCTTATGGGGGGTTGTCAGGCATCCCGTGTGCCCTAGAGGCACAGATTCACGCATGGGTGCACACAATGAAGAATGGCCCATAGAATTGGGGGAAGAAAGCATTGGTATCGGTGAAGTAAAGAAAACTGCACCAAGCATGAAACAACAAGGATATACAGGTAGCTGCCAAAGTAAAGGAAGCACCAACATAAAGTGTATTAATAGGGCGTTGGGCCATGACGAGCCACCAGAACAGCTTCAATGTGCCTTGACATAGATTCTACAAGTGTCTTGAACCATACGACACCATTCTTCCACAAGAAATTCTATAATATGGTGTTTTGTTGATGGTGGTGGGGCGGCGCACAATTGGCTCAGCGTCGTCCAGGGTAGGGGAGGGAATGACCGGCAGGGATGTAGCTCAGTTGGTAGAGCATGGCGTTTGCAACGCCAGGGTTGTGGGTTCGATTCCCATGGGGGGCCAGTATAAAAAATGATGTATGCACTCACTAACTGTAAGTCGCTCTGGATAAGAGCGTCTGCTAAATGACTAAAATGTAAATGTAAATGTGGTGGAAAACGCTGTTTCAGGCACCCCTCCAGAATCTCCTGTAAGTGTTCAATTGGATTGAGATCTGGTGACTGAGACACACACACCCTTTAAACCCCCTATGCTCTTTTAAGACCCCTCTTTCAAAGTTACTGAGATCTCTTCTTCTAGCCATGGTCTCCAAAATAATGGGCAACAGGGCATTTTTATACATGACCCTAAGCATGATGGGATGTTTTAATTTAAATTGCTTAATTAACTCAGGAACCACACCTGCGTGGAAGCACCTGCTTTCCTTGTATCCCTCATTTACTCAAGTATTTCCTTTATTTTGGCAGTTACTTGTATGGTGCACAACTGTAATAGGCCATGTGAGAAGATTCCTGTTGAATCTACATACCTCCATAATTTCAATATATACAGAATGAACTAAAGTCTGATTAAAATATGGTGTCAAATACGGTGCCTGTCCTATTGTGCACTATTATTGTGCCAAAATCAAAACCATGACGCCTCATAAAAATATGCTTGTCAGCCACTAGGGTGTGTGTGACATCTGGTGGTTAATACAAGAACTACATTCAGGGTAAAGATAACTATTTCTGACCAACCTGTGATGAGGGGAGGAGGAGGGTAATGATGAGGAGGAGACGATCAAGAGAATGATAAAGAATATGAAAACAATGAGGAGTGGCTTTTGTAAAACAATTGCTCATGAAAAATAACAATTAATAGGGAAGCTGAATAAATAAAATAATTTTCATGATGAAGAACACGTGGATGCTGCTGGTGATGATTTCTCTAGGGAAGAATAGTTAATCCCATTGATTACTGAGTGCTACCTGGCCTCTCACAATGGAACCATGGTTTGGTCCCAAATTGCAACCCAATCCCTATGTAGTGCACTACTTTTGACCAGGGCCCATACGGCTCTGGTCAAAAGTACTGCACAATATAGGGAATAGGGTGCCGTTTGGGACGCACACCATTAGTCATTGTGCTGTGTGTTTTTAAATACTCTCTTGATTGGATTAGGGCGTTATACTCTGCTGACGACTCCCACTTAATAGGGTATTATCAACAACAAGTATATTATCATATACAGTGAGGGAAAAATTTATTTGATCCCCTGCTGGTTTTGTACGTTTGCCCACTGACAAAGAAATGATCAGTCTATCATTTTAATGGTAGGTTTATTTGAACAGTGAGAGACAGAATAACAACAAAAAAATCCAGAAAAACGCATGTCAAAAATGTTATAAATTGATTTGCATTTTAATGAGGGAAATAAGTATTTGACCCCCTCTCAATCAGAAAGATTTCTGGCTCCCAGGTGTCATTTATACAGGAAATGAGCTGAGATTAGGAGCACACGCTTAAAGGGAGTGCTCCTAATCGCAGTTTGTGACCTGTATAAAAGACACCTGTCCACAGAAGCAATCAATCAATCAGATTCCAAACTCTCCACCATGGCCAAGACCAAAGAGCTCTCCAAGGATGTCAGGGACAAGATTGTAGACCTACACAAGGCTGGAATGGGCTACAAGACCATCGCCAAGCAGCTTGGTGAAAAGGTGACAACAGTTGGTGCGATTATTCGCAAATGGAAGAAACACAAAAGAACTGTCAATCTCCCTCGGCCTGGGGCTCCATGCAAGATCTCACCTCGTGGAGTTGCAATGATCATGAGAACGATGAGGAATCAGCCCAGAACTACATGGGAGGATCTTGTCAATGATCTCAAGGCAGCTCGGACCATAGTCACAAAGAAAACAATTGGTAATACACTACGCCGTGAAGGACTGAAATCCTGCGGCACCCGCAAGGTCCCCCTGCTCAAGAAAGCACATATACATGCCCGTCTGAAGTTTGCCAATGAACATCTGAATGATTCAGAAGAGAACTGGGTGAAAGTGTTGTGGTCAGATGAGACCAAAATTGAGCTCTTTGGCATCAACTCAACTCGCCGTGTTTGGAGGAGGAGGAATGCTGCCTATGACCCCAAGAACACCATCCCCACCGTCAAACATAGAGGTGGAAACATTATGCTTTGGGGGTGTTTTTCTGCTAAGGGGACAGGGCAACTTCACCGCATCAAAGGGACGATGGACGGGGCCATGTACCGTCAAATCTTGGGTGAGAACCTCCTTCCCTCAGTCAGGGCATTGAAAATTGGTCGTGGATGGGTATTCCAGCATGACAATGACCCAAAACACACGGCCAAGGCAACAAAGGAGTGGCTCAAGAAGAAGCACATTAAGGTCCTGGAGTGGCCTTGCCAGTCTCCAGACCTTAATCCCATAGAAAATCTGTGGAGGGAGCTGAAGGTTCGAGTTGCCAAACGTCAGCCTCGAAACCTTAATGACTTGGAGAAGATCAGCAAAGAGGAGTGGGACAAAATCCCTCCTGAGATGTGTGCAAACCTGGTGGCCAACTACAAGAAACGTCTGACCTCTGTGATTGCCAACAAGGGTTTTGCCACCAAGTACTAAGTCATGTTTTGCAGAGGGGTCAAATACTTATTTCCCTCATTATAATGCAAATCAATTTATAACATTTTTGACATGCGTTTTTCTGGATTTTGTTGTTGTTATTCTGTCTCTCACTGTTCAAATAAACCTACCATTAAAATTATAGACTGATCATTTCTTTGTCAGTGGGCAAACGTACAAAATCAGCAGGGGATCAAATACTTTTTTCCCTCACTGTATCTGCGGCCTTGACTTCTCACTTTTCAAAGTAGCCTTTTCCTGATGGATTATCTTTTGACGAATGCCTTTCACCTGTCTCATTGCATCCTTCTAGTAGGCTACTATCTAGATTTGAGTGGTCCTTGTTCTAATGGTTCTTATCTTCACTAAGGATGATTCTAATACATGAGGTTGAGTCTGTCTCTTTGGTGTGCCTGTTGGATTCCTGTTCTATATATAGACAGCATAGTGGAGCAATGGGAAGTAAACTGTAGTGTTTTGGGGGTTCAGCTCTTAGTCCCAGATTGCGTGCCCGGCTGTGTACCCTTGAACAAAGTACTTACCCTAATGAATCTATTTTACACCCAGCTGTATAACTGCAATATGGGTTAGATGATTAGACCTCTGTGTACAGCTCTCTCTCTTGCTCTCTCTCTCGTGACAGCATAGTGGAGCGATGGGAAGTGAACTGTAGTGTTTTTGGGGTTCAGCTCTCAGTCCCAGATTGTGTACCTCGGCTGTGTAGCCTTGAACAGAGACTACTTACCTTAACTAATCTATTTTACACCCAGCTGTATAACTGCAATACAGGCTAGATGATTAGACCTCTTTGTATAGCTCTCTCTCTTCTCTCGCTCCCTCTCTCCCTCTCCTCCCTCTCTCTCTCTCTCTCTCTCTCTCTCTCTCTCTCTCTCTCTCTCTCTCATGACAGCATAGTGGAGCGATGGGAAGTGAACTGTAGTGTTTTTGGGGTTCAGATCATAGTCCCAGATGATGTACCCCGGCTGTGTACCCTTGAACAGAGTACTTACCCTATTTTATCTATTTTACACCTAGCTGTATAACTGCAATACAGGCTAGATGATTAGACCTCTCTGAGTATGTGTTGTATTTTGATTATAGACAATTCCTGTCTTTATCCTCCTCTCTCCACCCCTCCTTGACTTCCTTTGTTAACTGGAGCCCCATCTGTCACATATTAATAGATAGAGTTAAATGATGGTGAATGTCATTGTTATGACTTTAATTCCAAAACCATTTCCCTCTCCACATTGTCAGGCTAAAGGGTGACATATTTCATAAGCCCATAAGTATCAGATCTCTTGACTCTCAAACCAATTTGATTAATCTGTCATAATTCTATAATCTCCTCCCCTGCATTGATACACAGGACCATCACGCACTCTCTTAGATTAAATGGGAAATGATCCAAATTGCCAGCTTGGCGAGCTCCCATTACTATAATAAAAATAAAAATAAAACCCAATAAAATAGTAATCCTTATCACTCAATAAAACAAAATGTCAACTATTCTTACCTTATTCAACACACACACACACACACACACACACACAAACACACAAAAGGAGAAAGAGGAGAAAGAACTATCAAACTTGATTTAAAAATTCTGTCAGATGACAAATACTTTGCCATGCAACCGGGACAACTGAAACTGTGGATCTTACAGTCAGTCATAAGCCCAGCTTAAATAAAGATGTCATGATGGACATAACTTAATACTGGAAAATAATTAAATAAAGGAGTCATAATACAATTGATATCCATGGACATATGGTTCATATGCTGCTATATGGATTATAGTTCATAACCTTTACTTATGTCTGTGGGAGGGGAGCTGGATTGATAGAATGTTATTTCTGAGAGACTAAAGAAACTGAATATATTTTTGTAGTTTTGTCACCTAATTATCGTTAGGTAATATCCAGGATCTTTTTAACTGATGCTTCATTTCATTTGTGTTGACTTTGAGGATATTGACTAAAGGACAATTTAAGGAAGTTAAAAGGAACAGGGACATTTAAGACTTCTTATCCAACAACGGTGGAATTGAAAATACGTGGAGAGGTAAGACTGCGCAGAATCAACTAGGTTTTAATAGTAATTTGGCAAGAAGATTGATGATTGACATGGTAAGATTACCAGGTACTGCAATAACTTGAATAATTCTACAGTGTTTCTAGATAAGTTTTTCCAACAGGTTTCCATTGTCTTATCATATTATCTTGGATGGAAACCCCATAGGGAAATGTCAATATAATGTCAACTATTATCACAGAGGAAGATTTGAGTTCATGTTTATATGTGAACTGTGAATAGTATGAATGTCTTCTGTGAATCTCTTAGCATTCCGCAGGCATATCAACTTCCCCTCAGATTTATTTTACAATAGAGTTTGTGTTTTTTTATGCTTCCCTCGCATACATTTGTACTGTTTTCACTCCAAATGGCTGCATTCTCTCACTTTTTTATCTTTCCAAACCCCATAAAATCTTTCAAACGTAATAACTCAACACCTGTAACAATCCCTAGATGGAGCCCTCTCCCTCTATGAACTTGACAATGCAGAATGAGGAGGAGGATCAACGTCCCCTCCTTCCATCAAAAGTGGTCCCTCTCCCACCTGCTTTTGGCAACCAGTGCGGAAGGAACCACTCATGTCAAAGAGGGGGAGATCACTCAGTGTTGCTCGATGGAACCCAGTCATCACCCGCCCTCTCATATTACAACGGCTGCCAATATGTCTCACCCTCATCCCACTCATCACCCCGAAGGGGAGACAATAAGGAAAAGGTTAGGGGGAAGGAGGTGCACAAGGAAAAGAGAGGCAAGAAGACAGCAGAGAATAAACAGAATGCTGGGCACAAGGATTGGATTTGGGGTAGTAAAACAAAAAGTTCAAGCCCACAGAGGCGCCAGCAGGACATTAAATCCACTCAGTCACCCTACAACAGAGTCTGTATGTCTCATATGGATTTAAGGGATACAGAAAGTGGGCCACCCAGTAAAGGAGGTCGAAGGCTAGAGGCCACATCAATGGAGATGCAGGTCCGCCAGAGTCTACCCGAGATTATCATTACAACCAAAGACGACTACCAGCCACAGGCCCCCAATCAAACATCCAGCTCGGACAAGAATCACACCAAGTCTGAGGCCAAGGGCACCTATGGTGGAGGTGACTGCCCTCACAAGAAGACCCAGAGCATCGGTCGTAGGCTGGTCCGCCGAAGGGCGCTGTTTGAGAGGAGGCAGAGGCTGAATGACTGTGCGCTCGCTGTGGGCATGTTTGGAGTGGTGGTCATGGTCACCGAGACAGAGCTCTTCTGGAGCATCTACAGTAAGGTCAGCACTGGGGACCAGATCTGGGTTCCAATGCTTAATTTGTATTTATTTTTGTATATACTTTGAGCATTTGCTTGAGTCTGCCTGGAGTGCCAGATGGGAGGGGTATTTTCTATAGGTTTATTAAGCCAGGCAAGTTCAACCAGGCACAGATCAAGTTTTTTAAATGCTGGGGACACCTGGGTAATTAGTGAGAAATAATTAGTTCTTACTCAGATAAATGTATTTGAAGGCCTTCCGTGTTTGTTGCTGAAGATGGCATATTTGAATTAAGGTTACTGTGGCCAGGATGCAATCTGAGGCGCATTGTACTGTGGATAATGCGCCTTTTAAAGGAAATGTTCCCGGAGATGTTCGCGGAGATCGTATCAATCGGAAATTACCTTTAAATGTCAAGCGCGCTACAATGCGCCTAGGATTGAATCCCAGCTGTATGTTAAAAGAAATTGAAGGGTACTGTATGTTAAGATGAGTGTGTCCACTACATGTGTTCCCCCACAGAGCTCCATATACTCCATGGCTATGAAGTCTGTTATCAGCCTATCCTCTCTTACCCTGCTGGGCCTGATCATTGTCTACCACATCTGTGAGGTGCAGGTAATTCACTTGTCTGACTACTTACTAAACTGCCCATATCTCACTATCTTAAACGAGCTATGATCCCTCGGGTTAGATTATTTTAAGTCATTCTACTCTAAAATCGTTTTTGTTATATGCCAGACTATAGTATAGTAGAGGCTCTATTGCTAACGGGTAAAGTAGATGGTGACAGAGGGCAACCTTGTCTGGTACCTCTCGTTATACCATTTATTACACTTTGACTACACTCTCAGTGACACTGTACTACATTTACATTTTAGTCATTTAGCAGACGCTCTTACAGTTAATGAGTGCATACATTTTCCATACTACATCTATGCTCTAACTCAGACATGGCTTTGTACCTATACTCACATCACTGTTAGCTCTACATCCACGATAACGGAGCAGAGGACTGGCGAATCGCCATGACAATGGAGCGGGTGACCCTGATCGCCCTGGAGCTGTTTGTAGCGGCGGTGCACCCGTTCCCAGTGGGTCTCCCATTGTCATGGAAAGCCATGTCCCCCACGCTGTCAGAGTCGGAGCTCGAGATCGTGCTGGCTCTGCCCATGTTCCTGCGACTCTACCTCCTGGGTCGTGCCTTGATGCTGCACAGCCGACTCTACACAGACACCGCCTCTCGCAGCATTGGCGCCCTCAACAAGGTCAGAGGTCCACATTGGTCACCATGCAAGTGATGCAACCTCTCCCTCAAATCTTAGGTTACTTGCTTTAATGGACTTGTACATACTCAGGTTGTACAATAGCCAAAATGGATTTGACTTGAAGTTCAGTAGTAAGTACCTTCTCCTTCAAGTCGATACGATGCTAAAGCTGCCCATTGGATTCCACAACACTTCCAGCAGCTACTCACCTCAACGCTAGGTGTTGCAATTTCATTGGAATCCAATGGGCTGCTTTAGCATTGGCTAGCTGAGCATGCTGACGAAAAAGGAAATGTAATAACAACCAGCAGTATTTAAATCTTCTCAATATGGGATAATTAGAAGTACAGCTACACCTTCCATCCTTGGATTGAGATGATGTACGTTTTCAAGCCATATCCCAAATTTGTCACCGTGGGGCAAACATATTGGCATAGCATTGTTTCGACTTGAATGAGAAGGTACTTACTACTGATGTCGAGAGTTTGTATGCACAAAAATGTTTACACAACCATTGTGCGGTGTCTTCACAATGCTTTTGTAATTATTGTGTTTTTTTTTTTACAACTTCAGTTTGTTGAGGACACTACTATGACAGTGACACTACATTCTGCTTTGTCCCCGCCTACCTCTCCCACTCTCTGCTGTGGTTTCCTGAGTTTCTACCAAATCCTCCCTCTGTAATTCCTTCCCTTGTTATTGCTTTTTTAACACTGATCAAACTGATGACCTTGAACTTCCCGCTTGGCTTTGCAAACCTCTCTCCATTCTTACTGTGGATATGAATATTATTATTACTTGTATCCAGATCCACTTCAACAGCCGTTTTGTGGTCAAAACCCTGATGACCATCTACCCTGGCACTGTGTTGATGATCTTCAGCGTCTCTCTGTGGCTAGTCGCTGCATGGGGCCTACATGTCTGTGAGAGGTGAGTGACTAAGAAGGGAAAGGAGGAGAGTGAGGAAGGAAGGCGGGAAATAGGCAATATACTTTTGCCGGGATTCATTCAGTGGTGTTAATGTTGTCAACAAAAACAGTGACTAAAATATTAGTAAAACACCTATTTATCAGTGGCAATTAATGAGACTATAACTGACTAAATAGACCCAGAACTTTTTTTTACTAAACAAAAAATATGTTTTTATTTCATTTGACAAAATTATCTCTGTGACTAAAATCGGACTACTAAGTGGACTGGACAAGAGTTTTTGGAGAGATTGACAGCTTTTCAGTGATAAGCACAATTAATATTAGCAGCACAAATGCACAGCGCAATTCTGTTTAGCAGTGGGAAGGACGCGTCCGGCAAACACAGCCTGCAGTCGTGGTCAAAAGTTTTGAGAATGACATAAGTATTGGTCTTCACAAAGTTTGCTGCTTCAGTGTTTTTAGATATTTTTGTCAGATGTTACTATGGTATACTGAAGTATAATTACAAGCATTCCATAAGTGTCAAAGGCTTTTATTGACAATTACATTAAGTTTATGCAAAGAGTCAATATTTGCAGTGTTGACCCTTCTTTTTCAAGACCTCTGCAATCTGCCCTGGCATACTGTCAGTTAACTTCTGGGCCACATCCTGACTGATGGCAGCCCATTCTTGCATTATCAATGCTTGGAGTTTGTCAGAATTTGTGGGTTTTTGTTTGTCCACCCGCCTCTTGAGGATTGACCACAAGTTCTCAATGGGATTAAGGTCTGGGGAGTTTCCTGGCCATGGACCCAACATTTCGATGTTTTGTTCCCCGAGCAACTTAGTTATCACTTTTGCCTTATGGCAAGGTGCTCCATCATGCTGGAAAAGGCATTGTTCGTCACCAAACTGTTCTTGGAGGATGGTTGGGAGAAGTTGCTCTCGGAGGATGTGTTGGTACCATTCTTTATTCATGGCTGTGTTCTTAGGCAAAATTGTGAGTGAGCCCACTCCCTTGGCTGAGAAGCAACCACACACATGAATGGTCTCAGGATGCTTTACTGTTGGCATGAAACAGGACTGATGGTAGCGCTCAACTTGTCTTCTCCGGACAAGCTTTTTTCCAGATGCCCCAAACAATTGGAAAGGGGATTCATCAGAGAATGACTTTACCCCAGTCCTCAGCAGTCCAATCCCTGTACCTTTTGCAGAATATCAGTCTGTCCCTGATGTTTTTCTTGGAGAGAAGTGGCTTCCTCGCTGCCCTTCTTGACACCAGGCCATCCTCCAAAAGTCTTTGCCTCACTGTGCGTGCAGATGCACTCACACCTGCCTGCTGCCATTCCTGAGCAAGCTCTGCACTGGTGGTGCCCCGATCCCGCAGCTGAATCAACGTTAGGAGACGGTCCTGGCGCTTGCTGGACTTTCTTGGGCGCCCTGAAGCCTTCTTCACAACAATTGAACCTCTCTCCTTGAAGTTCTTGATGATCCGATAAATGGTTGATTTAGGTGCAATCTTACTAGCAGCAATATCCTTGCCTGTGAAGACCTTTTTGTGCAAAGCAATGATGACGGCACGTGTTTCCTTGCAGGTAACCATGGTTAACAGAGGAAGAACAATGATTTCAAGCACCACCCTCCTTTTAAAGCTTCCAGTCTGTTATTCTAACTCAATCAGCATGACAGAGTGATCTCCAGCCTTGTCCTCGTGAACACTCTCACCTGTGTTAACAAGAGAATCACTGACATTATGTCAGCTGGTCCTTTTTTGGCAGGGCTGAAATGCAGTGGAAATGTTTTTTGGGGGATTAAGTTCATTTTCATGGCAAAGAGGGACTTTGCAATTAATTGCAATTCATCTGATCACTCTTCATAACATTCTGGAGTATATGCAAATTGCCATCATAAAAACTGAGGCAGCAGACCTTGTGAAAATTAATATTTGTGTCATTCTCAAAACTTTTGACCACGACTGTACATCAGTTGGTGAGCTGCGGTGAAGCAAGGGATGAGTGTGGGCAGACAGGCTCGGTACCTGCTCGGCCTCCGATAAGCTTCACTAACCAACCTGGTCTCAGAGCATTTTGTATTATTCTGTACATAAATCCGAGACACTCCATATAGTATGATATGTTACATTTCCTATCTATGTATGAATTTGTGGATGTCCATCACCCATTTCGTAAGCTATCTTACGAATTACAATGCATATTATATGTTACCAATTTGCAAAATGTATAATATGTTACCAATTTGCAAAATGCACAATATGTGACGAATTGCCAAAACGTATGATATGTTATGAATTATAGATAGGTGGCTAACATTAGCTGTTAGCTGGGTTTAGGGGTAAGGGTTAAATTTAGGAGTTAGGTTAAAGTGTTAGGGGAAGGGCTAACCAAAAGGGTTAGGGGAAGGATTAGCTAACATGTTACGTAGTTGAAAGTAGCTGAAAAGTAGTAAGTCGTTCAAAAGTTGCTAATTAGCTAAAATGCTAAAGTTTTCCGTGATGAGATTCAAACTCGCAACCTTTGGGTTGCAAGACGCTTGCGTTATACGCCTACCCATCCACTCCAACCAACCATTCTCCTTTCGTTTTTACCTTAAGTAACCATCTGTCTTATGTAACCATACCAAGTGTAACATATTATACTAATTTGAGTGTTCTGGGATTACATTTACTATGTGACGTCTAGTGTATGAGACCAGGCTGTGTCACAAGGAGAATCATGCTTGTGCATGCATGTATATATTATAGGTAATTGTATTAGTTGATTTAGTAGTTGTAGCAGTAGTTTTTATTAGTTGTAAAACAACTTTTTTATGCTGTCATTTTTATTATTTATTATTATTTCATTGTTATTATTATTAGACAGTAGTTGCCATATTATTCTTGTTAGGGAGTGAACGTTATTTATAATAAGGGTTACGTGGAGGAAGTCGGATTTCTCTGAAATGAAATTGGATGGCCCTCCCTTCAGTAAAATACTGGATAATTAACTAAACAAGTTACCCTCCACTATACCCAAAATAATAATTAAAACAAAGTGGATAGCAGAGAACATTTATACCCTTTACCCTTACTTCTAGGAAAGACCAGAGCCTTAGATGTGCAGTTTTAGAAACTGTTCTTTGTTCAGTACGCATTACATGGCAACGCCGAAATTTTGATAGCGCACAGGGCTGCGGCCCAGAAGATTTCGGGTTCACGGACCACGGTGGACAAAAGTAGGAGTGGAAAGATCTCCTTTATAGTAAAAGCATTGCATGAATCTATCATTATATTTGCAGGTCCGAGAAAAAAGAATGCCTTTTACAAAAATGTCATACAATTCTACGTCATTTTACATATTAGCTTAATCTTTTTTAATACCACACAAATTACCGAAATAACGGGCTTATGTGGTTTATGTGTTCATCTTATCATATTTATCCGATGCCAAATCAGTGTGTATTGTTTGCAACGAAACTGTCCCTGTTTGCAAATAATTAAATCTGAGACCTCATTAGAAAATGAATAGCTTAATCAATTGATAGTGACAGAATTAGATTACTTCCCAAGCAAAGTACACTTTTTGTCTCCTCTGAATGTCAAAGAAACAAAACAATTATATATACCCATATGCCTCCGAGTCACGTCTTTCCCGGGTATTTTACAGCTTGTTTGTACCATAAAGCATCGTGGACCAAAGCGCTGTTATAGATGACTTTATATAATCGGATCCGTTTTATTTTCTTCAAAATCTTAAGTTTACAAGTGCTTTTTGCCATTTTCTTACCCCCTCAATTCGAGTCTTGGTTTTAACTTCACAGCCCTTCACATGTAAAGAGTGTATGGTGGGTGGAGGAACTGACCAACAAATCTATGGATATAACGTTAGCAGCCTATAGCCCAATTTCGTCTGTCAAACAACCTCTTATTTCTTAAATAGGAAGAAATAGGCTCCAACACAAAGCCCTCTTGTTAGTAAAGTCTACTTAAAATGAAGACGGTTGAAATGAATTATGCTTACATCTTTGCACTCTCCTTCTCAAACTGAACAGAACATAGGCTATATGCTAGTTCGTGTGCAATAAATTATTTTCTGAACAAGCCTTTGACTCTCCTCCTGACCTGCCACCTTATACCTACACAGCACAGCCATTGGTTACGCAGCACACAAGTTGTTGATCAGCAAGAGCAGAGCAGGCCGGGGCTCTGGGTTGGAATGTCCATTACAGTGTGTAATGCAGCCTATTTGTATTTACACAATCCCAGCAGCTATCTTAGAAATATAACTGCTCTGTGCTTCTCCGAGCATGCACTTCGTAGTATATAGGCTATGGATCATTTGATTGAGACCACACACATAGCCAATAGGCGCACTTGATATTGCGCGCCCAGCGGAGAATCCGAGATGAGGGACGGCATCGGGCACACATCGATATACAGTGCATTCAGAAAGTATTCAGACCCCTTGACTTTAGGTTACAGCCTTATTCTAAAATGGATGAAATTACAAAGGTCCTTATCAATCTACACACAATACCCCATAATGACAAAGCGAAAACAGGTTTTTACAAAGGTTAGCAAATGTATTACAAATAAAAAACAGAAATACCTTATTTACATTAGTATTCGAACCCTTTGCTATGAGACTCGAAATTGAGCTCACGTGCATCCTGTTTCCATTGATCATCCTTGAGATATTTCTACAACTTGATTGGAGTCCACCTGTGGTAAATTCAATTGATTGGAAATCATTTGGAAAGGCACACACCTGTCTATATAAGGTCCCACAGTTGACAGTGCATGTTAGAGCAAAAAACAAGCCATGAGGTCAAAGGAATTGTCCATAGAGCTCCGAGACAGGATTGTGTCGAGGCACAGATCTGGGGAAGGGTACTAAAAAATGTCTGCAGCATTGAAGGTCCCCAAGAACACAGTGGCCTCCATCATTCTTAAATGGAAGAAGTTTGGAACCACTAAGACTCTTCCTAGAGCTGGCCCCCGGCCAAACTGAGCAATCGGGGAGAAGGGCCTCGGTCAGGGAGGTGACAAAGAACCCAATGGTCACTCTGACAGAGCTCCAGAGTTCCTCTGTGAAGATGGGAGAACCTTCCAGAAGGACAACCATCTCTGCAGCACTCCACCAATCTGTATGGTAGAGTGGCCAGACGGAAGCCACTCCTCAGTAAAAGGCACATGACCGCCCGCTTGGAGTTTGCCAAAAGGCACCTAAAGGACTCTCAGACCATGAAAAACAAGATTCTCTGGTCTGATGAAACCGAGATTGATTCTTTGGCCTGAATGCCAAGCGTCACGTCTGGAGGAAACCAGGCACCGCTCATTACCTGGCCAATACCATCCCTACGGTGAAGCATGGTGGTGGCAGCATCATGCTGTGGGGATGGTTTTCAGCAGCAGGGATTAGTCAGGATCGAGGATCATCTGCTGAATGATGTAAATGTAAATGAGGGAAAGATGAACGGAGCAAAGTACAGACAGATCCTTGATGAAAACCTGCTCCAGAGCGCTCAGGACCTCAGACTGGAGTGAAGGTTCACCTTCCAACTGGACAACGACCCTAAGCACACAGCCAAGACAATGCAGGAGTGGCTTCGGGACAAGTCTCTGAATGTCCTTGAGTGGCCTAGACTTGAACCCAATCTAAAATCTCTGGAGAGACCTGAAAATGGCTGTGCAGCGATGCTCCCCATCCAACCTGACAGAGCTTGAGAGGATCTGCAGAGAAGAATGGGAGAAACTTCCCAAATACAGGTGTCCCAAGCTTGTAGCATCATACCCAAGACGACTCAAGGCTGTAATCGCTGACAAAGGTGCTTCAACAAAGTACTGAGTAAAGGGTCTGAATACATATGTAAATGTAATATTTCTGTTTTTTATTTTTAATAAAGGTGCAAAAAAATGTTTTCATCAATTTTAGACTGTAACGTAACAAAATGTGGAAAAAGTGAAGGGGTCTGAATACTTTCCGAATACACTGTATGTTTACTATAGGTTAATGACTCAAATGTGACTCAAATTAAAGGGCATTTAATTGACTAAAATGGCCCACTGTTTTTGTCATTTTGACAATAACTAGACTAAATCATTATTTAAATGACAAAAATGTGACTAAGACAATGATATTTTTGTCAAAATGACTAAGACTAGATTACATTTTAAAAAAGGGCCAAAATGAACACTGATTCAAAGGCGTGTTGCGCACTACACTACAGATAATGCGCCTTTTAAAGGTAATTTATGCAGACATCCGCAGCATTTATGCAATCTCTGCAATCTCTGCAAATGAATGCAATCTCTCCAAATGTCGGGGAAATGGCCTTTAAAAGATGCATTGTCGGTAGTGCAGTGCGCCGTGCTGTGACTTGCCTTCGAATTAATCCCGGCCTTGGTGACTATATGACTTGGACCAACCTGTGCTGTGACTGATATCAGATGGGCCGTCAGTCATATAAAAAATACAGTGAAATATCACACTCCTAGACTAAAACTAGTTTATTTGTTAAATGTTAATATGTTAAGAGTGGACGAGACAGAGGAAAAGCTGAACCATCATCCCTCCCCTGTCCTCTAGACACCACAACTATAAGGACCTGAGCAGTAACTACATGGAGGCCCTGTGGATGGTCTCAGTCACCTTCTTGTCCATTGGTTACGGGGATGTTGTTCCCCACACCTACTGTGGCCGCAGCATCTGTCTACTCACTGGCATCATGGTAAGCAGTTTCAGCAAAATAGGAAAAGCACCCGCACAGCTGAGTTGGCTTGTTGCAGGTGCGTGGGAATAATTAGATGAAATCTTTAAAGAAAAGAGAAGGGGGTAGGAATCATTGTAATTATGGTCATTAGCATACTGTCTTCTTTTCCTTAAAGGCCCAATGCAGCCATTTTTATCTCAATATCAAATCATTTCTGGGTAAAAATTAAGTACTGTACTGTGATTGTTCTCAATTAAAATGGTGAAAAAGAAACAAAAATAACTTCCTAGCAAGACCAATATCTCAAGCAAGAATTTAGCTAGGACTGTCTGGGAGTGGTCTGAGTGGGGAGGGGAAAACTGAAAACTGGCTGTTATTGGCAGAGAGGTTTGGAACTCTCTTTCTTATTCTTATCTAATTTACCGCCTGGTGATGTCAACAGGCAGGCCAAAACTCCATCCCACCAAAACAGGCTGACATTTCAGGCGGTCTTTTCAAATAGCTCTTACACTAAAAGGGCATTATCATCATTTTTACAGTATTATTCCTAGTGTGGAAATAAAACACAGGAAAATCTAGTTTTTGACTGCACTGGGCCTTTAATCTTTTTTGTTTTGTTTATTTCTCTCTCTGTCATACACACATGCACAAACGCACACACACACAAGGGGGCTGGTTGCACAGTGCTGGTGGTTGCCGTGGTTGCCAGGAAACTGGAGCTGACCAGGGCAGAGAAACACGTCCACAACTTCATGATGGACTCCCACTTTACAAAAGGGGTAAAACTCACCTGACTTAACATGTGAATGTATTCAATAGTGGTCTTTGGAACCTTGACTTAACATGTGATGTGAGACATTCACTGTTGGCTTGTAGAGTTGTATGAATCATGGGTTGTATCCCAAATGGCACTCTATTCCCTATATAGTGCACCAGTAATAGGGTGCCATTTGGGACGCAGCCATTGAAAACTGAGTGTTGGACGATAAAACAATTGTTATTTTCCAGATAAAAATTGCTGCAGCAAATGTACTAAGAGAGACTTGGATGATCTACAAACACACCAAACTGACTAGGGAGAGAGACCACTGCAGAGTACGCATGCACCAGAGGAAGCTGCTGCTTGCAATCCACCGGTAAGGCACCAATCAGAACACACTTCCCCAAGTAACCCACCAATCAGCTTAGATATTCCCCTCTGAAATATCAATGAGGTTACACATTACACCACATGCACAGGGGTGTTAGAACTCTAGAACTTGTGAAAGCGCCAACTGTAATACAGAAATGGTCATTCTCTGTTCATCATTAATTATATTTTCAATTTGTTGTACCTGTCCTGTGATTGTTATATCTGAATGTTAGAAATCTTCCTCTGTGTGTTCACCCCAGGCTGCGTGATGTGAAGATGGAGAGGAGGAAGTTGGCTGACCAGGCCAACTCGCTGGTGGATCTCTGCAAGGTGAGAGACAGGCACGGTTACCCATTAGGTTCACCTACTACTGTTGCAACAACCAAATATGACCAATATTCTAGAGAAGGGAGCCATCAGCGATCTTCTAAATGTGATCTCATTGCCCCCTCTCATTCTCAGACTACTCTTCTGCACCTCTTTCCCATGTAGATGCAGAATCTGATGTATGACGTGCTGTCAGAGGTGAGTGGATGCCGAGGGGACCTGGAAACACACATAAACAGTCTGCAGCAGAATGTGGAGGAGCTGAGAGAAGGCTTTAGGACCCTGATGCCCCTCCTCTCTAGCACCCTCGCCACACAAAACTCTTCCATCCGCCACCTGCTCAGGGAGAGGGAGGAGCAGGCAGTGACACGGAGCATGGGAGGGCAGGATAGGTAAGATAGCAAGACAGATGGGAGGAGGTATGCGATGTGTGTTGTTACAGGGAGAGGTAGAAAGAAATTGATGGGGAAAAGTTGGGATCAGGATAAAGATAGGATTTAGATGATCTTCAAAAGATACTTTATAGGAATAACTATTCAAAGTGTACGTAAAGAATGTGTCAAAGCAATAAGGGATGGATTTGATCAAATAAAACTAGAATTACAATGAGCCAACACCCAGACTATATGCAGTACTGATAAGTGACCCATACTGGCCCAAAAACCTTGGTGATACTAGTCTTGATTATAACATTCTCTGAATCACAATTGAACAAAAAAGTATTGTTAGCCAGCATGTGCACTGAATGTTGTAAATTGTACATTTCCCTGCGTTTCGTAACTAATGTATTTTGTAATTTCACACTGCTAGGTAGATTGGCATGGTAGTATTTGGTGGAGTCCAGTAATATCCAAATATCTGGTTTTTATTGAATTGTATGATTTACAGTAACCATTAATAAATTAAGTTACATTCTTGTCATGTGTCAAATAGTTAATTGCATATGACATTGTTCCTTTATGTATTTTCATGAAAAAACGAGCGCTCACTTTCTTGTAACAGGCTATGAAAACAGATGCCAGTGGTCGAGTTCCTGCCCAACTAGATGCGCAGGTGTTGCGTGCCACGTCATCCACTGTGCAGTCGGGCATCAGATTGCTATATCATGTGTTCAGCCGATATCTTAAACACCGATCCCGGCGTTGTAAGGTCTGGCATACATCTGCAATGAATTCAGGCAGGAATTTGACCAGTAACTTTACAGTAGAACAGCCTTTCAATGGCATCATAGGCAAATATGGAAAAGGGAACAAAAGTACAAACCACCCCAATTCTTTAGCCAAAACCATATTTTATTAAGAGACTGGGTTGGAGGGTTCAGTTACAGCAACAAATAGGACTATCACATAGAATGAGTAATCCAATCTGGTGTCCAGACGTCGTGAGCACTTCTAGATCAATCCGTTGTTTCTTGGATGCAGTGACTGCTGTGTCGAGGCTGGAATTGCTGAAATCAACCTGTCCAACCCCTCCTCTCCCTTACATCTCTACCAGGGCATCGGGAGTACAACTAATGCTGCTTCCTCCTGAATGAGCACCCTGATGGAGAGAGAAAATGACAGTCAGGCCACTGAGACAAAGAGGTCATTACCGCTACACACGACCACTGATCGCACTACAATCTGAATGAGGAGAGAGTAGCAGGACACAGTGTTCATTCGGTTGCATATTTACAGCATCTAGTGCTAAACAGTCTAAATGGCACGAAAGCTTTCACTGCCAAAACAATAATTTCAAATCTGCCAAAGCCATAGTAAGGTTCTGCAATGTTGGAATCCAGTGTACTGCAACTCCTAAATAATAAGTAGCACCATAACTTGCATCTTGTTCTCAGCCTTCGAAAGGAGAGAGCCAGTGATCTAGCCCAACCCTTCCGCAAACTGACGTTTATCATCTGGCACTGGAATGAAAGAACCACCATGGGGGTGGCAGTCCAGTCACTTGACAGTGCAGCCAGGTCATTTGATAAAGATTTGAGCCATTAATGTTTACAGTGAATGTGACAAGTCTGTCTGAATTAATCTGTGCCAATCAGACAGTAAAATTACTAGTCCGTTAACATAGTAACTGACAACAGGACCAAATAAATCAATAAATATTGACATGCTGTACTTAAAACTATTGTTTTTCCATAGACATTAAATTATTAGAGACTATCCACTCTCCAACATGAGTTGGAAAACCCCGGGGGGGGGGGGCAGAATACTGAGACTACTGACCCTCTGTGAGACGTGCTTTGCCGCCAGTGGGCTGACACAGAACTGTGGAGCAACCCACACACAGTACGACCGTCTGGGCGTGGCTGAACACAGTTGTAATCTTGTAGCATCCTGAGGGAAACAGAAACATACAACCATTAACACAGCCCATCTGAAGACCAGCATCATTAGTGCTTGGGGTATATTCCCTAGTGCACACAGTAGCAAAGAAACTAATAAAACAAGCATTTCTTATTGGACAAATTCTGGTAGGTCCCGCCCCATTTGCATCCTAATAAATACAATGTTAGGGCAGGACTCATTAAGCTACTGCATTCAGATAGACATGGTGGCACTTCAAACATGAGTCCAATGAAGGAAAGAGCGGGGGGATCTACCTGGGCACTTAACATCCATGAAATAGGAGTTAGGGCTCTGGACGAGACGCTTCTTCTTGTGGCTCCTCTTCTCCTCCTCAGGGGATGGGTGTAACAAGTCTTTTGCGAGCTGCAGAAGAGTGGACAAACAAGACTGCTTAGAACATTACATTTAGTTTGAGTAGTTAGGACAACTATTTACAAGTGACAGACAGTGCATTTAACATTAGTCAATTAGCAGACCCCCTTATCCAGAGAAAACTAGTGGATGATACCGAGATGTAGCTATGTCAGATACACAATCCACAAGGAGTGTTGGCTCACAGCCAGTTGAATTACATACAAATGGTATCACATATCACTCACTCAAACCTAGTTGAAATTGACATTAAAATAGGAAAATTGCTGCGGGTGATATTGCCAAGGAATTGTAATGAATTTGCGATCCAAAACCTCATAGCTACCACCTTGAACTCTTGCTGACTGGATTAGGTAACGTCAACGCTGACCATTGTTCGAGGCAATATAATAATTACTTTTCACTTAGGATTTGAGCAGTAACTGGCACTACACGATCTACTAGTACACACGTCGATAGTATAGTTAACAATGGTCGCTATTGCGCGTATATAGTCAGACAATGTTCAATTTTCAGGTTACTCTTTCTCCATGTTTGCGATATGTAGGCCGCCATCTTGTATCACAATGCGTGCATATGTGAAATATTGTGATAGCAACACCTCGGCACTGAATGGGCCGACAGAGCTAAAACACACAACACTCAGTACTCGCATTTATTATGCATTGACTGACTCCAGTATTGGCATCTAAAGCCCCATATGAACGGTAAAATTGTGATTATGTCAGGCTCCGATACTCACTGGCATGTTGGCGAGGAAATAGCCGCTGCCGGAAAGGAGGCATTGCCGGAAACAGAGGGTTCATATTGACACTGGTTTTGTGCACGGGCAGGAAGTGAGTGAATTAGAGGAGGTTGGTGGACATATTTGTAAGGTCAAAACACATTGATTAATTGCACCAGTATTCAATTAGGTAGATATTTAGCCAACAGATGTATTGTCTTTTATCAGACTTCTCTAGCGATGTCATATCCCCAGACCCATGGATGACAGAACACATCACAATTCATAGGCTACCTATAACATTCACAATAATGATTGTGAGCAGAGCAATACACAGTATATATATATATATATGTTTTTATTTCACCTTTATTTAACCAGGTAAGCTAGTTGAGAACAAGTTCTCATTTACAACTGCGACCTGGCCAAGATAAAGCAAAGCAGTGCGATAAAAACAACAACACAGAGTTACATACGGGGTAAAACAAAACATAAAGTCAAAAATACAACAGAAAATATATATACAGTGTGTGCAAATGTAGCAAGTTATGGAGGTAAGGCAATAAATAGGCTATAGTGCAAATAGAGAGAGTTAGGCCAGGTTTTAGAATGGCCACCATGTTAGCGCCCATATAGAACTTTATTCTTGAAATGTTGGTAATGTAAGAATACAGTGTGCCACAGACAGTTCCCTATGAAATGAACCGCTGTAAACAAGCAAAAAAGAGCAGTGAAGTTAACAGACATTTTTATTGATTAGCATTCGGAATCATGTACACTACCAGTCAAAAGTTTGGACACACCTACTCATTCCAGGGTTTTTCTTTATTTTTACTATTTTCTACATTGTAGAATAATAGTGAATACATCAAAACGATGAAATAACACATATGGAATCATGTAGTAACCAAAAAAGTGTTAAACAAATCAAAATATATTTTATATTCTTCAAATAGCCACCCTTTGCCTTGATGACAGCTTTGCACACTTGGCATTCTCTCAACCAGCTTCATGAGGTAGTCACCTGGAATGCATTTCAATTAACAGGTGTACATTTACATTTTAGTCATTTAGCAGACGCTATTATCCAGAGCGACTTACAGTTAGTGAGTGCATACATTATTTTTTTATTTTTTATACTGGCCCCCCGTGGGAATCGAACCCACAACCCTGGCTTTGCAAACGCCATGCTCTACCAACTGAGCTACATCCCTGCCGGCCAATCCCTCCCCTACCCTGGGCCAATTGTGCGCCGCCCCATGGGTCTCCCGGTCGCGGCCGGCTACAACAGAGCCTGGATTCAAACCAGGATCTCTAGTGGCACAGCTAGCACTGCAATGCAGTGCCTTAGACCACTGCGCCACTCGGGACACCTTCTTAAAAGTTAATTTGTGGAATTTCTTTCCTTCTTAATGCGTTTGAGCCAATCAGTTGTGTTGTGACAAGGTAGGGGGAGATATCCCTATTTGCTTAAAGACCAAGTCCATATTATGACAGGAACAGCTCAAATAAGCAAAGAGAAACGACAGTCCATCATTACTTTAAGACATGAAAGTCAGTCAATACAAAACATTTCAAGAACTTTGAACGTTTCTTCAAGTGCAGTCGCAAAAACCATGAAGCGGTATGATGAAACTGGCCATGAGGACCACCACAGGAAAGGTAGACCCAGAGTTACCTCTGCTGCAGTGGATAAGTTCATTAGAGTTACCAGCCTCAGAAATTGCAGCCCAAATAAATGCTTTACAGAGTTCAAGTAATGGACACATCTCAACATCAACTGTTCAGAGGGGACTGTGTGAATCAGGCCTTCATGGTCGAATTGCTGCAAAGAAACCACTACTAAAGGACACCAATAAGAAGAAGAGACCTGCTTGGGCCAAGAAAAATGAGCAATGGACATTAGACCGGTGGAAATTTGTCCTTTGGTCTAGAGTGCAAATTTGAGATTTCTGGATCCAACCGCCGTGTCTTTGTGAGTGGGTGAACGGATTATCTCCGCATGTGTATTTCCCACCGTAAAGCATGGAGGAGGAGGTGTTAGGGTGTGGGGGTGCATTGCTGGTGACACTGTCTGTGATTTATTTAGAATTCGAGGCACACTTAAACAGCATGGCTACCACAGCATTCTGCAGCGATAAGCCATCCCATCTGGTTTGGGCTTAGTGGGTGGCCTCAGCCTTTTTTGCAGAGTTAATTTTTTTAACCATAAATGGCAGCTTGTTTTGGGTGGAACTGTTATAAGGCTTTGCCTTTTGAGTATGTTTTTGAGTTGTCATGTGTTTTTTTACATCACTTAGTTTGGCGTAGAAATCATGCCTGTGTATCATCTCCAATAAACGGCTTCAACCAGTCTTTGAATTCAGGGTTTGATTCCCACTCCTTTCTGTATTTTTGAGTGTACAGTTTAGACTGAGACATGATGAGCTAGCCAGCTAGATGTTTATCTTATGTCACAGAGAGGCACACACACAGTGGACGAGGTGAGTAAGTGACTGAGGCTGTGTGAGTCAAATGCAGTGATTTATTTTTGTGCAGTAATTTATTTTAGACAAAGAACATTTTACATTTACATCCCACCCTGAATGTAGAGTCTCCAAAAGTCTCCAATAACACCAGAAAAAGTCGCTAGATTTGTCGCTAGTCGATTTTTTGAAAATGTGTCGCTAGAGGGGTCTGAATACTCGCAAAATATATATATATTTTGCCCAGCTCTCAGACTGTATGACTGTCTGTCTGTCGGTCAGCCTATCTGTCTAGGAGGTCCAGATGTGGTGGTGGCCACTGGAGGGCAACTTCACTGGAGCACATATAGGCAGAAGTCTTTGGGAACGAGATTAGCTAGCTAGCTACCTTGTTTCACAACCAAGTCAGAGAACATAGAGGATGAGCCTTAGGTAAGTGTTCTTTTTTCCTTGTAATTTCACATTTGGAAGGTGCATTGAAACAATTAGCTAGCATGATTATATCATTTCTAACACAGCCAACTAGCTCAACCTGGTCTCAGTACATTTCGTATTATTCTGTACGTTAATCTGAGACACTCCATTTAGTATGATATGTTACATTTCGTATGGTATGTATTAATTTGTGGATGTCCATCACCCATTTTGTATGATATGTTACGAATTACAATGCGTATTATATGTTATGAATTTACTAAATGTACAATATGTTAGGAATTTGCTAAACGTATGATCTGTTAAGAATTCTAGGTAGGTGGCTAATGTTAGCTAGCTCGCTAATGTTAACTAGGCTAGGGGTTAAGGTTAGGGTTACGTTTAGGAGTTAGGTTAAAGGTTAGGGTTAGGTGAAGGGTTAGCTAAAAGGGTTTAGGGTTAGGGGAAGGGTTAGCTAACATGCTAAGTAGTTGCAAAGTAGCTAAAAAGTAGTAAGTAGTTGAAAAGTTGCTAAAGTTGTCCGTGATAAGATTCTAACTCGCAACCTTTGGTTGCTAGATGTTGTGGTAGAAATATTTAACTCAAAAGTATCTCTAAAAAAAACGGAGCTTGTGAATTCAGAATATACTTTATTATAGCGCAACAAAGCCGAGCTGATCCATGGAGCAACTGCCTGCCCTGACTCTGAGCTCTCCTTTTCACAGAATCAATGCATAGTCATGTTTATACGACCTACACAGTTACTCCCTTATATGTACATGATTAACATCTTTCAGTGCCATGCCACCACCATCTTCCAAAGTCCAAGTGCCACACATTGTTTCCTTACAAGGGCTACGTGCGCTTCTCTAGGTGGGGCCTCTGTCTCTTATCCTATTATATTGGTGGCGTGACTCAGACACTTTCTTAAAAAATTATATACATTAAAGAACAGTTACACACTGCATTGACTATATTCACTATTCAGGCATGCATATGGATTACAAAGTATCAATCATGTTTACTATGTTTTACCTTGATCATTTCTCAACATTTGTATTAGAAAATTATCTATATATTCCCCCCTTTGGGACTTTTAAAGTCCCAATAAAACAAAAGTTGACATAAAATGAATGTAAGCATGTGCATATACTTATTCTTAGCCTTGCCATCTGTGGTTACATTTTATAAGAATATATTCAGACCAATTTATCTTCCTCATTGTCTGACCATCACGATGAGGACGAGGAGCCCAGTCAGGTACTGGGTACAAGTCCGGAAGGTTTCCCTCTAAGCTAACCTCCAATTGTTGCTGTTGAGCTTTGTAAGCATGACAGGCCCATCCACCCCAGGGACAACACCATACAGACATTCAGGATTCCCAAATGGGCAGTCCATTGGTCCTCCTTTAATATTACAGGGCTTTCCATATTCATTAACATACTGTCCTGGAGCTCCCTGAACAGGGTGTATTTCTTTGGTTGAATTATTAACAATTGTCTGTACAGTCATTTGATTTACTGTGGTTTGGATAAAAAGTGACTTCAACAGAGGTAGTATACAGCAAAAAACCATTCCCATTACTACAAGTGCTGTGCCTATCATGATCGCTATTTTTGTAAACATTGCTCCCCACTTTCCCAAAGTTAAGTCCTTCCAATCCCAAGTGTGAGCATCATGCCCAGCATTGTCCTTAACTTCTTTTCGTAGTCCTTTGAGCGTAGTCAATGCTTCAGTGAATGAACCATCCGGGGCAGTATTATTGGGAATGAAGGTACAACATTCATCCCCAAACATAACACAAACTCCACCTTTTTCTGCCAACAGCCAGTTTAAAGCCTGCCTATTCTGCCATGTCATTCTACTTGTAGCCTGTACTTGCTCTCCCAGAGCTGTTAACGCAGAGTCTGTGTAATTAATAAACCTCTGTTGATTATAGTAAATATAATTGATCCATTCTAGTTTTTTTTGGGTGATATCCAGACGAATATTGATTCAAATCCTGCTTTAATTTAATCTCTTGCCTTATATTCATTTGGAATTCCTCTAGGCTGACCAATTGATTCCAAATATACATTGGGGTCATGTTCATACGCTCTTTTTACCCTTTTATTATTCTGTGCATCCTGGTTTGTTGTTTTTACT